TCCCTGAAACGTTAGTCAAAAAGCAGCTCAGTTGATCTTTAGTGCCTTCTGCTATTTGGTTATGATGCATCAAACTGATTTTGAAAAAGGTAACTATTTAAAATTATTGCGTATGTAAAAATTTTCTTTCCGCAACATATTCTAAGCAATTTCTCACTAAACTTTCAGGTTTCTAAGGAACCAAAATTTGCCTTTAATAGCAATTCCCAGTGAAGGTAATAGGAGTTGCTCGGTTATAATCAACAACAAACAAAACTGTCTGCTTCCCAAAATGAATTCCCTAGATGGAACATGTGAAATATGTGAAGTATTCTATTTTAAAAGAATTCAATTACTTTTCCTAACATTTTCAAAAGAGTGAAGAAAACCATATAAGCATTAATTCTCCAGCCCTCGAGGCTGTTTATTAGCATACTAAGATATTAAAAAGGTTTTCGGCACACATTATACACCTAAACATTCAAACGGCAAGAATCAAAATGAGGTTATAAGAAATAGGGCAACATTGAGGTCTATAGCCATATTTAAACATGATCAACAAGAAAATCACTCTATAGAAAACTGTTAATGAGCCATCTATCTTAGTGCACTTTAGCTATGCCAACCAATATAATTCAGGAGGGGTATTAGTTGATTGAAATAATAATTTGGAAACAATGTTATCCCTTTGACCACAAAAAAATCTAATACCAAAACTTAATCCTTATTGAAGGAAGTATACTTAAATTTAAGTAACCTATCATAATTGATTTTTCTATCCCTGGAATCTAGCATAAAGCTTTTACACCTAAGATCAATAAATGTTTTCTAAGACTAGCCCCACAATTTGTGAGACAAACCTATAAATACTAGCTTTGGCTCTAGAACTCAAAGGTGATACATATGCCAAAATACATTTCAAATCAAATTATTACTTCCCCTCCCAGTTGTAACCGCAAAAATGTAAATATGTATATATTATAGACAATCAAGAAAGCATTAACCTTCCTCAAAACTAACACAAAAAGGACTTCCACTTTACCTATAAATTCTCTCAATCTTATTTTTGATAATTAAAAAATACAATTAAAGACAAATAAGAAAAAAAAGAACAAAATTTCCCAAGTGTCATGAATTACATGGCAAACAATTTTAGACTTTAGATGACTTTAGAAATAGTGGGTTTACTACATATCATATCTTGTGATTATTTTACACTTTAAAATCACAAGGTAACATACAAGTCAAAGTATTTTTAAATATTTTTAAGTCCATGTACCATAATGTGATTGATTTTCTAAGGTAAGTTTAGTGTTTTTATGTAAGCATATCCAGAACATGTCAAAATTATTGAGATTAAATGTAAATACATACAAAATTTTTAATTACTAGTCAAAAGAGAAATGAAAATGCAACCTCATAATGTAAAACTCCTAGTTTTATTTTTGTTTATGAACAACTATTTTAGAGAGAACACTTTCCTTTAGAAATAAATATGTTCAATAGTTTGCTACATGTTTTTAGTGCAATATCTTTGTATATCTTCATCATAACCAATAAACAGAAACAAAGGGCATCTATCTCTCTCTGTCTTT